TTGTTTAAATTCAAATCTGTTTTTCAATGTCATGCGAAAACGAAAAATGGAAAGGGCACTTGAATTCCCTTTTCCCATGCCATCGAAAAACGGTTGGCACTAAGGTACACGCATTCTAACAGCTGTCGGAGAAGTGAGAGCTCGAATCCTGACAATTGAGTTTGTTTGTTTTTTCTCTTTCTTTCTTTTCTTTTTTTTTTGCCAAGAATCAAACGCACACATTCGCACAAGAAGAGACACGGAAAGGCCGTTTCGGAAATTAGATAATTCACAATGTTTACGATATAATTTCTCCCGTTTTATGCCTCATTTGCAACGAAATTACTCACAATACAGTCTCATTGTTGTAGTACACAACCACGCTAAAACGTTCCCAGTACGAAAATTTATCTCGAAATGTGACAGCTATTGCCATAATCCCTATCTTATGTCAACAGTATAATTGAATGTAGTACAGGCCAAACCTCCAAAACAATTGCGGGAAACGTTTTGTTGACATAAGCGGTTGGTTATTGTTGTGCTTGTTGTTTTTTCTACACGTTTTTATTTATATATGTATAATATGCAAGTGGTCTTTCGTTTATTCTAAGTATTTACAAAGGCGACAATTCTTCCCATACCAACATAGGAGTGTGTGACGAACCAAAAGACGCCTGCGTAAGTTAATATTTGACCATCAGCCACGGTGCTTCCCTCTCCCCTTTGCTAGACTACGAGTAGTCCCCCATTTTTCCTCAGGGATAGTAGAGCGAGCGAAACGCGAGCGCGCGTGAAAATCACCCCACGCGAGAAAAGGCGACACGCGGCGGGGGGATTTTTCTCTCTCCCCGCCGCGTGTCACCTTTTCTCGCGTGGGTTGATTTTCACGCGCGCTCGCGTTTTGCTCGCTCTACTATCCCTGAGGAAAAATGGGGGACTACTCGTAGTCTACCCCTTTGCAGATTAGAAGTTCAATCGACGTAAAAACGTGATCGGTCGTTTTTCGTTGCGTTAGTGAAGTGAGGTCTTCACCGTGTTCACTGAGGTGGAAATCATCATTAACTCCTGAAAATCGGGGACAAAAAGGGAAACTGCCCTGTAAAAACTCCCTTTTAAAAAAGGGAAACTGCTATGTTGTCGACAACAAATAGTTCTGATAGTTGTCAATGACTACGTGTTTTACCGTTTTTTGTGTGGCGATAGATAGTTTAATTGTCGACAACTATCATATTTGATCGTATCTTCGATGCGTTGACAGTGGTAAGTGGTCTTTTCTACAAACAAAAATGGCCGAAGGCACCTGGCAAAGGAATTACATGAAAGCAGGAGCTTCCTGATGAAAGAGAATTTTCTTTTTGGAGTATCATAACACGGCATTGAAAGCTCATGTTGATAATAATCTTGCAAATTTTAACACAAGAACTTAATTAAAAAAGTGTCGGTTCCCCTGGCTCGCTATCCTCACTTTGCCCCTCTGCATTACAGGTAATATGTACAATTATATCTTCCCGCGAGTGCTTCCCTTGGACCCCTCCCTTTTGAAACTTACATTACAAGCATGCGCAATAAATCTTAGTTTTCAAGTTTTCGTCAGGAATTATTTGCAATTGTCATTGACAACTAAATGCTTCAGTGTGAAGAATGCTTGCATCGGACATCGTTTGCGATCGATTACCTTTTCTTGTCGATAAAAGATAGTTGTCGCCAACTAAATGTCTAGTCTGTGAAGGCCCTTAGTTTTTTCTTTTTAATTTATTTGTTCTATGGTGCTTTTCATATCGCTCGTCCCAACTAGCTGACACGCAGGAACATTAATAATAATAATAATAATGTTTATTTCTTATATTGCGCAGTCTAGCATGAGATAAAGATATGATCGAGTGCGCATTACAACACTAAAATCTTAAAGTAATAAATGGCTAGTCCAAATAATGATAATAATAATAATAATTTACAATTTTCGGAAAACAATAAAAGTAAAATATGAGTTAATAAAAGAACTAATAAAAAGCTAATTTAAAAAGATGTGTCTTTAGTAAAACTTTAAAAATGTTCAATGATTGACATTGTCTAATTTCTAGAGGGAGTCGATTCCATACTTTGGGCGCAGCATTTTCAAACGCCCTATCCCCGAGTGTCTTTTTTGTTCTATAGGTATTGTCCATTAGGAGTATGCCCCGGTATGATCTCAACTGATACCGCGAGCTCTCTTTGATTTTTATCAAGTCTAAAAGATATTGTGGTGCGACGCCGTAGATACATTTGTGAACTAGCATTGCTATCTTGAATTCTATTCTGTGGGTAACCGGAAGCCAGTGCAGGTTGATCAGGGATGGTGTGATAGGATCATACCTAGATATAGTACATACCAGCCGAGCTGCCGCGTTCTGCAGGCGTTGCAGCTTACCAAGATGAACAGCGGGCGTACCATATAATAGACCGTTACAATAGTCTAATCGTGACATTATAATAGCCTGTACAATGGACTTCCTATTATCATATGATAAATACTTTCTAATACGCCGGATGTTATGTAGATGGTAATAAATATTCTGACATATGCTGTTAATATGTGTGGTCATATTCATGTTTGCATCAAACCAAGCACCCAGGTTTCTAACAGAGTAAACCGCAGAAACCTTTACCTCACCTACTTGCAAGTCACTTATCATAACCTTATTTAACTGTGCGCGTGTACCTATAATAAGAAACTCGGTCTTAGCATCGTTCAGCCGAAGTTTGTCTTGGACCATCCAGGTTCTTATGTCCCTGATGCAAGCTTGTAGAGCGTCAACAGCATCCGTCTCAGTAGCAGAACCATCCGGCTTAAATGAGATATAGAGCTGCGTATCATCAGCGTATGCGTGAACGTTAGGGAGATGGGATTCAACAACATCGAAGAGCTTACTTGCGTACAACGTGAAGAGCAAGGGACCAAGACATGATCCTTGAGGTACCCCTTGAGGCAGATCAAAGTCACTCGAATAGCTCCCGTTAATCAGGATTCGCTGTTTCCTGTTTGATAAATACGAGTGAAACCATTTAAGAGCGGTACCTGTAATTCCATACGTCACGCACAGGCGATTCAACAACACTTGGTGGTCAATCGTGTCAAATGCTGCACTCAGGTCTAGCAATACCAAAAGAGTAACTCGTTGATTGTCCATTGCAGCTAGTATGTCATTCTGTATCTTCAATAGGGCAGTCTCTGTGCTATGACCAAGTCGATAGGCTGACTGGAGGATGGGATACAAACCCGACTGAGTAACGTGATCGGTTGTCTGATCATAAACTGCCCTTTCAACCAATTTAGAGAGGTATTGCAGATTACTCACAGGTCTTAAATTGGATAAGGAAGTCCCTTGCTTGGTCTTCTTCAGTCTCTGCAACAGACGAGAAGAACGAAGTTTGAGTGCTTTTAAAACCATGCATCATTTCAATTTGGCAACTGTAACGTTTGCATAAGTTATTTTGTTATTATTATTATTATTTTTTATAGTTCAGCAGTAGTTACTGTCAGCATCTCATAAACGTCGAGGCAAATGAAAACCTTGTGCGAGGAAGAAAAATAAAAATCAGCGAAAATGAAACTTACGAAAAACATAACCATGGACACGGCAAGGATACTGAAGAAAAGTACTTTTGTCATCCTCAACTTACTCAGGCTGAGATGGACTTGAGAATAGCTTATGTAATTGTGGCTTACAAAGGTTCTGGACTTATAGAGAATCTTCTAAGAGCAATTTATATGCCTCACAACGTCTACTGTTTACATCTTGATAAGAAATCCACGGCGAACTTCAAACGTGCCGTTCATTCCTTTATTGATTGTTTGCCAAACGTTTTCATAACAAAGAAATTGATAGACGTTGTTTGGGGACACGTGTCCGTTTTGCAAGCACAGTTGAACTGTATGGAAGATCTTTTCCACAGCGATATACCGTGGAAGTATTTAATCACGTTGGTAGCACAAGATTACCCCCTTTATGACAACAAGGGCATCGTTGAGGGGCTGAAAAAACTCAACGGACTGAACAACATAGAGAGTTATCCCATGCCTAAGCGCTTTGCCAAACGCGCAAACGAAATCTGGACTCTCACGGAAACAGGGAAAGGGAAAGAACACGATGGTTACAGAATGGATCGTACATGGAAACCAAAGGTCCCCCTTTCTCATAACATCACTATAATGAAAGGATGGAACCATATTGCAGCAACAAGGAAATTTGTGGAGTTTGTACGATAAAATAGCCACCGACTTTTATCAATGGTTATCCGATATTTATATCCCGGATGAAGTGTTTTTCTCTTCTTTGCAGCGTCATCCGGGAACCCCCGGCGGTTACCATGACAACGATTATCATGAGCGGATAATGCGCGCGTTCGCGTGGGTTCATGAAAGCGATAGTCGACAGTGTTTCGGCAACTGGATTAGACACAATTGCTGGCTTTCTACTCGTGATCTTCGCTGGATTTTGGCGGAGAAAATCGGAAGAAGCTTTTTACTCAAAAGATTCCATTCGAATACGTAGAAAATTTAGTAGAGTGTTTATCTGCAGTCGTTCAAGACAGGGAATACCCATCTGACTTCACCCGAAACTCCAATACAGCCGTTTCTTAGTTGGCGCTCATCGCCGGACAATTTCGCGCCAAGCGTTGAAAGACTAACCTTATACATGCAAATTTATATAGAAAGTTAAAAAACAGTAAAATACACCTAAAAGATGTATGTAATAGTTAGTTAAAAGCAACGTATAACGGTATTTATTTTTCGTTGAAGATGATAAAAATGTATTGCAGAAAGCAGAAAACGGACCTCTGGAGCCATGTTACTGCGGTAGTTTGGACGGGACCTGAGAGTTTGAACCATTCTTCTCCCTTTTCGTCAGTGTATTAACAATGTACATGAAATCTACATTTTGTCATGGTAAAAAATTGCATCTTCACCGAAAAGGCTAAAAATATTAATAGAGCTGTATTTATTGCTTCAATCGCTATTCTCCTCTTCAGCTACAGCTTCCATGAAAGACTGCGAATTCCCAGTTCTCCATGATGGTTTCTCACCCCTCGAGGTAATCCTCGGCACGAGGATATATTCAAGTGATGTAGATTGGGACAGCCAAAACATTCCTGTAACGAATGAAAATGCACAACGGAATGGCTGTCGCAAAAATACTTAAGTATTTCAAGTACTTTTAACCCTTTCGTTCGTAAGTTTCTTAGAAGGAAAGGGCCGCTAAAAATACCACCAAGAAAGGATTTATTTCTTGGCATCGATCTTACTAGTATGATGTCAAAATTGACGTAGACTGTTTGGGGATATATTTTCCTCAAAGCTACCACGTATTCGGTACCAAAAAACCAAAAATCCTATTTTTGAAATTTTTAACATATAAAACCTTGACGAAAACTGCAAAGTTTTGAACATTTTATGGCGTCATTTCTGTGCTCCATTAGAGTGTAGACAGTGGAAAATTGTGGTCGATTTGTTTTTTACAATAATATTTATTTTTTCTACGAAACAACCGGCACTGCGCGGCATGTTACGTCATTTCCATGGTCTATCCTCTCATTCACCATAGCTCTCCACCAATCAGCGCTCGACGATTCGCTCAGTTATTGTAAAAAGTGATTTATCCGATGGATAGCGTTATCCACCTTTTGAACAACTGGAGCCTGGTTAGTCTCCCTCCGGCAGCCGTTTTTTGAAACGGCTGCGAGGGAGACTAGGGCCGAGTATGTAAACAAATTCTAGGCCTATTGTCGAAAAACAAACTTCGAAGGAATTTCCAATTTTTGATTTAAATCGTCATAAACTTATTTCTTTTAATAAATTTAAATTTTCCAGTGCTGTTAAAAAAAAAACATTTTTTATAGTCTCGTAAGTTTTTTTCTATTCTAGTATACTGAACAAACACTATTTCTTCTTATTATTTCTTTTTTCACAAAAAAATAGGAAAACGTTGCGAATTTTTTGATGAAAATTATTGAAATTCAGCGACTAATGTTGAAAGTACAATTTTATAGTCAGAAAGTCTTCTTTTCTGTTTTGTATGTATAAAAAAATTTCTAGGCTTAAAGTTTCACAAAAACAAACTAGGAAATAATTTCAGTTTTGACGAAAATCTGGGACTATTCCCTTTGATCAAGAATCGGCGAAGCGGCGAGGAACGAGGGCGAAAGCCCCCCGGGGAAAGCCCGAGTGAGGATAACCTGAAATCAGGGGCAACGAAAATAGAGTCCAACGGGAGGTTATTTCTCTTCACCCCGATCTTTCCTTTTTTTCACCATTGATCAGCATAATTTTATTCTTTCACTCGCCGCTCTTGGGACTGTGGAAAGAAGGGCGACCGGAGGCGGTGACTCAGTGTATGCGAAGAACTCGTAACCAGTAAACAGGCATCCCAGGAGGATTGATGAACATTTCATAACGTCATCAGAGCTTGTTAAAAGTCAATAAAGAGCAATTTATATGCCTCACAACGTCTACTGTTTACATCTTGATAAGAAATCCACGGCGAACTTCAAACGTGCCGTTCATTCCTTTATTGATTGTTTGCCAAACGTTTTCATAACAAAGAAATTGATAGACGTTGTTTGGGGACACGTGTCCGTTTTGCAAGCACAGTTGAACTGTATGGAAGATCTTTTCCACAGCGATATACCGTGGAAGTATTTAATCACGTTGGTAGCACAAGATTACCCCCTTTATGACAACAAGGGCATCGTTGAGGGGCTGAAAAAACTCAACGGACTGAACAACATAGAGAGTTATCCCATGCCTAAGCGCTTTGCCAAACGCGCAAACGAAATCTGGACTCTCACGGAAACAGGGAAAGGGAAAGAACACGATGGTTACAGAATGGATCGTACATGGAAACCAAAGGTCCCCCTTTCTCATAACATCACTATAATGAAAGGATGGAACCATATTGCAGCAACAAGGAAATTTGTGGAGTTTGTACGATAAAATAGCCACCGACTTTTATCAATGGTTATCCGATATTTATATCCCGGATGAAGTGTTTTTCTCTTCTTTGCAGCGTCATCCGGGAACCCCCGGCGGTTACCATGACAACGATTATCATGAGTGGATAATGCGCGCGTTCGCGTGGGTTCATGAAAGCGATAGTCGACAGTGTTTCGGCAACTGGATTAGACACAATTGCTGGCTTTCTACTCGTGATCTTCGCTGGATTTTGGCGGAGAAAATCGGAAGAAGCTTTTTACTCAAAAGATTCCATTCGAATACGTAGAAAATTTAGTAGAGTGTTTATCTGCAGTCGTTCAAGACAGGGAATACCCATCTGACTTCACCCGAAACTCCAATACAGCCGTTTCTTAGTTGGCGCTCATCGCCGGACAATTTCGCGGCAAGCGTTGAAAGACTAACCTTATACATGCAAATTTATATAGAAAGTTAAAAAACAGTAAAATACACCTAAAAGATGTATGTAATAGTTAGTTAAAAGCAACGTATAACGGTATTTATTTTTCGTTGAAGATGATAAAAATGTATTGCAGAAAGCAGAAAACGGACCTCTGGAGCCATGTTACTGCGGTAGTTTGGACGGGACCTGAGAGTTTGAACCATTCTTCTCCCTTTTCGTCAGTGTATTAACAATGTACATGAAATCTACATTTTGTCATGGTAAAAAATTGCATCTTCACCGAAAAGGCTAAAAATATTAATAGAGCTGTATTTATTGCTTCAATCGCTATTCTCTTCTTCAGCTATCCTCCATGAAAGACTGCGAATTCCCAGTTCTCCATGATGGTTTCTCACCCCTCGAGGTAATCCTCGGCACGAAGATATATTCAAGTGATTTAGGGCCTGTTTACATGAAGGTGAGGAACCCCAGGTAGGTGAGGTAACATGTGGCGGGTTACTTCACCTAACATGTAAACGTGATCACATTAAAATGAGAGATTATATGGACACGCGGGCTACCCCACCTAACCGGGTTACCTCACCTATCTGGGGTACCCCACCTCCANAAAACTGCGCAGTTTCAAAAGGATTCGTCGCAAACCAATGCAAAACTGAGCTTCGGAACTGGCGAATTCAGTGTCATTTTTTACCTCTGGTCAAACAATAACAACAAAAAAAAAACCGACTAAGTCGATGAATTCACACCAAAAAGCACAGGAATACATCAAAGGCAAGTCTCCTATATTTATTATAGAAAAATAAGTAAGAATAATGATATTTAGCGTTCGCAGACCTCAGTAATTTCTCATACTTCTCATGCTTGCGACTCTGTTGTGAGAAAGTTAATTTACATAACACACTAGCAACGGCTTATTTACTAAAAACTTTTGCTTTCAAGAATCGAAGCGTGACACATTCGTTTCATCAAAAAACTTTTTTCTGCGTAGACGAATGAATCCCCTATTTGATTTTATGTGCGGTCAGTGCGTGACAACAAAAGTCACATTGACTTTTAAACCCTAAAAACAATAGTCCGCCAAGCCCAGAAGAAACCAGAAGGCTTTATGAAGCCTGAGCTCCCCAGTCTAAAAGAAATAAGCAAAATAAAATGATATTTGCGGAGTGATACGTTAAAAATAGGAACCAAACAGAGACTGAGTTAAGTCATGAATTTAGTAACAAGATAGAAAAAAAAATTAAACCCTGGATTGGAACAGAATACTTTCCATTGTTAGTACGGCAGAAAGGAAAATAAAATTGATTTGAACTGCGCGTTCATTGTTTAGGGCCGCTATGTTGTTTTCATCAAGTCGAAGTGCATCACTTTAATCGCCCAAAAATCAGCAATAATTCATTGATTCGAGATCAAAAATCCAACAAACACATCGCAAACGGATACAAAAAAGCTAGTTCATACCTTTAAACGCGAGGCTGTACAATTTTTTGTGGCAAAAAACCTTGCCGTAAATCACTTACCGCTGGAAGCCTTTCCTGCGGTTCAAACGTGAACTACAAACTGCAAACGTGACCGCAAGGCCATGGTCACATGACATTTTGCGGTTTGCGGTTTGCCGTTTCCCACGAAAAACCTGGCCCCGGTTGTTCAAACATTGGATAGCGCTATCCGACGTTTGAACAACCGGGGCCTGATGCTAAAGGTCCCTAATTTGCATATGGTCTCTGGCGTCGATGGTCTGCTACACAGCCGTTTTCAGTGAAATCACGCAACGCTCCTCCCAACTAAGGAGGAACGTTGCGTGACGACACTCGGCTGTGTAGCGGACTATGGCGTCGTAGGCAAAAGGCTGTTTATTCTTTTGAATTCAGTCCTTGTTTGACCTTGAGTAGAGTATATTTCCTTGAATGGCAATTTCTAATCTTAAGCTCGGCGCTTTTACTGTTCTTCTCCTGGCTGTGTGGGGAATTTATCTGTTTTTTTCAGTGGAACAAGAATCACCGAGAACCACAAGACCTCTTATCAAGCGCTTTACCGGTAACTGCAATGGGCGAATTCTAAAGGTAAGAGTAGAACAGATTCTTGTGGGTTATAAATGAACATTTTACTATCCAATTCATTCGGCAAAAGCGAAGTTAATATAGTGGAAATAATTACCGAGACGAAGTGGAGGAGATCGTTCAACCGACGTTGAGGAGAATGTTTTTTTTCTTAGTATATTTACTCCAGCAATGCAATTAACGGGAACTGAGGAAAGGTAACAACACTTCAGTTAAAAATGTTTTTTAAAAATATTGTACGCTTGTATTGGGTTATATGACATAGTCATGGACCAACCAGATCGTTTGAATCTCCACCGAGAAATTTTACTAGTTCGATTTTAATAAAGTTCTGTTTTAAAATGCTGAACTGCTGGAGTTCATAAATAACCTGGTTCTTCCCTTCTCGCTTTTGAAGGACTCCAGACTAGGTGTAAAACAAGGTCTGGGTATAAAGCTTGGGCTAGGTATAAAATACGCATTACGGAATGCGTTTAAAAACAGCTCTAGGAAGATATATTAAAATTAGTGAAACAGATGGAACTACAAGTACGTGCACACAAACAAACGCATACAACGTTTCTTAGGATCGTCACGCAATGTTTTCTCCGCAACGTTCGCACTGAAAGTGGAAAGAAGCCCTAAAACACATATAGGACGAAAATTTGAAAGTTTGAATTTTATAAAAAATAAAAACTTGGAGTTAGAAGAGAATTCAATTTACGATATTATGAATGGAAGTTGCGTAAGCACGATCAAGTTTTTGCAACCGCAGACGTTTGAGAGGCAACCTGAGATCAGGCGTAATTTTTTTTTGGCTTCTTTGGCTCGTGGATACATAAAGGGATAACAGGGAGAGGGTATGATCTCAGGCTATTTGAGAGGAGACAATAGGTTTTTGTGTGTGAGAGATAGAACAAATATTTGAGACGCGTTGGAAAACCACGAGGCGAATAAAAACAAGTACCGCGTGAGATTAGAGTGTATGAATCGACATACAGATATTTGGACCGGGTCTAAAGTCCAGGCCTCATAATGAATGAATGCTTATGGTAGCTGTTCGCTATGGACGTAATTAGACTGTATTGTAGTTTTCTTTATCGGGCTTTATTCAGGGTCTACATCAACTGGCCATGTTTTGCATTAGACATCCACGTGCGGTACTTAAATTTTACCTTCAGCTGTATTTGGCATTCAAGTCACTTGACAGTTAACTCTTTGCATTGAATTTTCAATATATAAACGAGAATGGCCTATGCAAATATTTCTAAACAAAAGAAAACAAGATTTGAGTAAACCTTCGGTTAAAAGTCCATCTTGTTCGGGCTGAAAAGGCAGAATCGCAGGGGGACTCATTAGTTTGCGCGACGAAAGTATGGTCAGTAAACAATCGATTGTCACGCCAGATTTTAATAACCACAGTAGGAGGGCCGGTATAGGTGGTTTTCATGCAATCTCGGGAGACACAAATAACAATGGTGAAATGAACAAATGCTGGTGGACAAACAAAGCGAGCTAATGAGCGATCTTTTGTTTACCGTCCACCAGCATGGCGGCGATGACGTAACGTGAAAACCAAAGGCGGGTATTAGCGACAAAGGTCTGGGTCGGTAAAGCTGTTGCAAACTATTAAACTGGGGTGAATTTGCTAACACAGAGACGGAGATTAAATCGTCCCCTGTGTATGTATGAGTTCAACGGCTAAGAGCTAGTAAAGTACAATTGCGGGAAACGTTTTGTTGACCTAAGGGAAAGTTCATTTAATATGACAAGGGGGGGGGATGAAGATATTGAGGGGGGGCTCCGAAAATTTTTAGAC